CTCCTTCCCCCGCGCAACGCCCTCCGCTTTGACATCCGCGTCTCAAACGAGAGCGATGTGCATGCGCGGCTGGAAGGCGTGTTGACGGGGGTCGAGGGTGCCCAAGTGACTCGCGATGCAGGGCCCAGTCCTATGGGGTTCGTCGTCTCCGTGGCGCGCGATACGTGGTCGCGAAATGCACGTCGGAAGCGCAAGCGGGAGGAGGTAGCCCATTATGTGGTTCCTGAGAGAGATCGTCTCCAGGCTCCAGCGTTGTTGTGCATCATCGTCCTTCGGCAAGGGGATGCGGAAGGTGGTGTGGACGAGGTGGAGATGGAAATGGAGGTGCGGTGAGTCTATGGAAAGGAGCGGTCTTTGTTGGAGAGTTGAGCCAGTCGTGTTGCCAGAAAGTTCGTAGAGACTTGTGTCATTTGAGCGACAATCACAAAAAAGGAGATGTTTTCTCTTATCCTCAGGAACAGGGCCCATGACGCAGTCGTCATAGCCAAGTGGTTACGGCGACAGATTTGAATATCTCATTATCTGTTCCTCTTTGAGGGCGTAGGTTCAAATCCTGCTGGCGACGATTTTATGGACCCGCGCCCCATTTCAAGGCACCTTTTTTTCATCATCACAGGATGACTGTAAGTATTATGTAGCATCCTGCGCACGTCTGAGCATAATATATTATGGAGGAACAAAAACTACTATGAGAAACTATGGATTGGTTTTCCTGCCAGGCACCTTACATGAGGGACTCATGATCTCTACGAGGTCGAGTTTGTCTTGACCGTCGACCGCTAGTATGAATAAAGAAAACAGAGCCAGTTGCACGTAGTAGCGCGGTGTGGGCCCACTCGATTCTGTGGCTCGCTCATTCAAGACTTATTTATTTATTGCGGTAGTATCGACAAGCACAGACCTGAATTGCATAGATGGGCTTACCGTTGTTCAGATCTGTCATGAACGAGGGGTAAACAATAGATAGACAACTCCTTCGACAGTCCCAAGGTCAGAATAGTGGTTCCTCGACATAAACCCCAAGGCCCCTAATAAGCGAGTCTATCCGCAGCCATGAGAATATTGTTTTGCAAAAGCCTAAGGGCAGCCATACCTTCATCAATAGACCTATAGAACCCAACAGCGCGGCCAGATGCAGATATATTCTTTCCGAATGGTGGGTATGGATGTCCAGAGAAAGGCCCTTAAATTAAGGATTACTCATTGACACAAAATCCAAATAGACAAAGCCTGCAAGACGACGAACCGTGCTCGGAGCCATCAGAGAGTCCAAAGGTTAGCGCAAAGAGCGATGTCTCCTCCTCGTCCACCAGGGCAGTAACATTGACAATGTAGGGAGATCTGAGAGAAGATCCTGGCAAAAACATATCAGATATCTTGAAAACAAAGGGAGCTGTTTGACTCACCAAGTCTGACAATACCATTGTTTCCAGTTAATTTTCCGTGTGAAATGGTCTCAGGAGGTGCACCAGGGAAGGTCTGGTAGACAGTTGCGATTCCGTTGATCCCACTTGCGCCCAAACAGTCAGGAAAGAAGACTTCGACTTCGATGATCCTCGGGAAACCCGGGGCTTTACTGGGCCAAAGGTTGTCTACAGATAGAAGTGAGCCACTTCCAAGCAGTGTAAAGTTAAGGAGTGAATGACATACATGATTAGACATCGTTAAAGACATCGTTGGTGAGATTCCCGAAGGGCTTGTAAACAACGAGTCGAGGTACAACGAGTTGAGTGTCAGTCATTGTTGAGAGTGGGAGTTGAGGTAAAACGAATTGAGTGTTAGCCATTGTTAAGAGTGGTTGAGTGCAAAGCAGGTTGTGAGGGATGGACAGCTGAGCTCACACAAGATGGAAAATCTTTTATCTCTGCCGTTGGAAATTTGTGCGCATTTGGTAGAGTGTGGCATGTTTTGTCTCGGGGGAACTTCGACACAAAACGATACCAATCGTTGGATATGGCAATAGAGTTTGAGCCTAGAATGTCAAGAAATTATAACAGTTGATGCATTGGAGAAGTCACCCGATTCAGAACATCGTGTGGCTGAAGCTCGTTCTCCATTCGATGTTCCATGATTCCAACGGGCGATAGCAATATCAGAGCCGATCGAAACAAGCCGCCGCCTGAAATCGACATTGGTCCTAGTAATAGCCACACCTGTCAACACTGGCAGGACCTAGAAAATAGTCGTTTCCAACGATACACTATACATACGCTCAGGAAAGCGAGGAGGTCCTGCAAAGAATCGTCTGAAAGGCCTTTTGAATGTCTCGTAGACCCTAATCATTTCCCACTCAGTCAATCTTCGGGTACAGCTCAAGTCTGTATCCCTATATGCTTGTTCCGATGGCCGTCAACCTCAATCGCGTGAACCTCCGGCGTGGCCGATAGATGCACCAGGGATTGTGCCTGATTGTGCCTATTGTGTACGCATTTCGAGTGGTCGTGAGTACGTTGAAAACCCATGTCGGCACTCGAGACGTCCGGTCACTGCCTTCTCCATATCGAAGATGTAGACGTTCAATCCTTTTCGACGATCGTCGCAAGAAGGCACAAAATGACCAAATCTAACCTTGTTCTTGCTCCCAGGATGTGAAGGATGAAAGCTATTTGGCCGCTCAACGAGTCATGTGTAGGTATCTGATGCTGAAGACTAACGCTCTTCGGCCATTATTGTAAGTAAGAAGGTTCACAATCTAACTAATGCACTGCCCTTGCTGACTTTATCCTATTTTGCCCGCGGCGCTTTCAAGCCCCGATTATATTTTGAGCTCCCATGATATGAACCTTCATACCGTGTTGGCCGATGTGCCTGATGCAGCAGTAGGGCGATAGGAAACGATAAAGAATACACGTACAACTGGCCACCTATTGCGTTGCTATGATAGATGTGTCGGCGACTGACGCAGTGCTAATGGTTGCGAGGTCCATAGGCTCCAAGAGGCGAAGTTGAAGTACGAAGGTCAATTGCAAGAACTTTGAAGAAGACAATTCAGTGCGCATTGAGATTGTTATTATGATGCCCAAACGTCATATGTTTAGCCGGACGTGTGAACCCGTTGGACCGATATACAGAATGGACCTGTATCCACAGCTTAACCTCTCATAAAACGACAAACGTGATGCCGTAATTCGTGTGCTCCCGATCCACTGATTCCTCAGCTACTCGTTTAGGTTCGTCCATTCTAGCTGTTAACGCGAAGCAGGTCATGGCAGCGAATGATAAAGAAGGTCCTGTCGAACTGCCATTGGGCTTAGGTGGGGTGTAACGTCAGCCTAGCGGCATCGAGCGAGAACAATCCATAAAGCTATTAAGAGCCCCAAGAGTTGAGAGGAATCGCTAGATCGCAGATGCGGGATCCACGATGACAAGTGTCAGTCGAATGTACAACCAGCAACCCGGCCAACACAAGAGACGCCATTGAGGTAGGCGAGAAGGTGAAGCAGGGATCCTGCTTCCCCGAATCTTCCGTACACCCTGCCTCATCTGGAGAGTGTTTTAGATTTTTGTGGACTCCTACTTAGATAAAGGACTATAGCCGCACCGAGTCGTAATATTTTGTGTGAAGTTGGTGTAGAAGTGATTTCCCCCTTGCAATTCACCCTGCGCATATTGACTGTTCCTTCATGCATTGTCCGCCTGTGAATGCTATCCTTTCGGTGGTTATCGACGTCATAGAGGTTTAGCATGATTGGAGCAACGAGTCGACTTAGTGTACAAGGCGTGGGAGGGACTGGGACGGGGCAAGGGCGAGTCAGCAACTGATGATAAGGGATAAGAGAAAAGTACCCACATGTGGCAATCCTTGTTTGAAATACGTGTTCGGCTTTTCGCGAAACCAACTAGCTAGTAGCTACCGACTTCCGTAAATCGGAGTGTAGGCCTAAAGGAGACACTAGAACAAGGCAAGGACATGGTTGAGGACGGAGAGGGCGACGAGGAAATAAGGCGGCGAGCGTACCAATTGTGAATGGCGGAAGTGTTTGGTCCCAGTTTTGCCCAAAGATACCCTTGCCGACCTTGCAACGTGCGGACAGGCGCTATGTGGTGCCGACGACGAGGTGTGTACTTCCGCAGGAGTGCGTGTACTTCCAGGTCTTTGAGGGGGCACGCGGGGGGGAAACCATGGATTTACATGGGTTAAAGGATCTATATACTAGTAGCCAGAGTGTTTGGATTGGGTACACCGAGGAAAAGAAGGTCAGAGGAACGTACCTGAACTCGATGCTTCACGCGACGTGCCCCAGTATTCTGTGATCTGAATTGGGAGCTTAACATGCAAAGTGCAATGGAGGCCCTGGAAGAGCAGAATCCAGTTCAACTACCTGTGTTTCGGGGCGTCTTCTGACGTTCAATGGTGGTGCCGTTAATCCCCCCGATTTGGAGCCTAGAGACAAGCCTTCGATGTTCCAGGTTTGTAGTTTACACCCATGGGCAAACGCTACGCAAAGAACAACCTTTGAAGTGAAAGGTACACTCAACCCCTCCTTATTCTCTTTGCTCCTGCCGTATTGTTGGGGGGGCAGACGATAACATGTGCGGGCTATTGACTGCAAGAAAGTTTAGAGAATCATTGTAGGATGAAACCGAGACTCACCGTCGTCTGCGCTTGAGCCAAACTGAGGCTTCAATTATTCCATCCATGAACCCCGCAACAACACGTCTTTTGCGGCTCAAGGTCACGACTTGGGGGAGCCTGTACTATGCCCTGCGTGGAAGGCCGTCCTCCAGTGGGATGAGAGGTCGCTGCTCTAAAGCCAAAGGCGGTGGAACGTCGAGTGCAGTGCTATGCCCGGTCTAGGTAGAATTTGAGACTAAGAAAACAGATGAGAGAAAGGCGGAGAGATATCGCCTGCTGTAGTATTGTTTACGTCGAGAGCATATATATCTGGGCCAAGGATTAGAGAGGAGCTGGCGTATTGCAGAGGATATGTGCAGATTCTAAGTAGTGGTAAGAGTTCATGTAAGCTGACAAAAATTGGACGTGGACGCCCGAGTGAGAGTTCCCTCTAGCCGACTTGAACGACTGACCTCGTCATACCGAAAGCGATACTAGTGACGCGCTCTACCACTGAGCTAAGAGGGACATAGAGGTAAGCTTGTGCAGGACCATTAGATGTGTATTCAGATGTGTATTATATATTTTCAGGCAACATTCAAGGTGCTTCTCGAATCTAGAAGGCCAGCTTTACGTAGTCGAAGTGGAAATGTGAGACGACTTGCTTTGCTGAAGTCGGACGTGACAAGAAAGACGTGTTTGGCGGAACTCTTGAATCGCAGCGCTTGTTATTTGACAGATTCATAGATATCGGCTTCAATTAATTACGAGCTATTACGAGAAAGGGGAATATTACGGGAGAAACAAGGAGATGGTAGGGCCATTTTAGAACGATGTGGGTGTATAGGCGATTGTAGGAGGTGAAGAAGATGAATGTGAGGTCAGAGAGAGGATGATGTTGTGCAGGTTGACGTTTGACCACGACCATCATGGCAGCCCAGCGTCCGCAACGGCAACGACCTCCATCGGCATTAGATCCTCATCACCAGCAGCAGAACGACTACCAGCCTGAGTTGGGCTCACGGCCAAGTCGAGACTTTAGTACACGACCATCACAGCAGCAGCAGCCGACGGGCTGGGAGCCCGAAGAAGACTACGATGATGTGCCAGAGGATGACAACGATGACTTTTTCAATGGCTCGCCTAGTCGCGGACTGCAACACCAACCTTCATTCAACGACCAGCAGGAACTTGGTGTACCACCTTCTTCACAAGCCACCAATTCTATCCGCGCACCGTCCCCGCCAGCCTCAGGGCCCATCCTCGACCATTCTCATCTCCGCCCAGGCAAACAAGCTGCTCTTCTATCTCACGAACGCACCCTCGAACTCTACCGTGCCAATGCTAAAAAGACACAGGACCCCGACCTCCAGTTCGAGTTCGCCGTCTTCATGATCGACGCCTCCAAGTCCCTTCCAATCCCGCCTTCGACACCGGGTAACCTTCTGGTGGTCGAAAGGGCCCTCGAGAAGCGTGAGGACCTCATCAAGGAAGCCACCTCCCTCCTCAAACGCCTCGCCGACCGGGGACACGCCGCCTCGCAGTACTTCCTCGCAGATTGCTTCGCCAACGGCATCGGCACCGCCAAGGGCAAGCAGGACTTCGACCGCGCGTACCCACTATTCGTGCTCGCTGCGAAGCACGGGCACCCGGACGCGGCGTACCGCGCGGGGACGTGCACGGAGAACGGATGGGGCTGTCGCCGCGAGTCTGCCAAGGCCCTCACCTTCTTCCGCAAGGCCGGTGCTGCGCAGCACCCCGGTGCGATGTATCGTCTTGGCATTGCGGAGCTCAATGGCGAGCTCGGGCTTAGCAAGAGCCCCAAGGAGGGCGTCAAGTGGCTCAAGAGGAGTGCGGAACATGCGAGCGCCGAGTTCCCGCATGCGTTGCATGAACTTGCGCTGCTCCATGAGCGTGGTATTGAGAATGTGCTGTTTGTGGACTTTGAGTACTCGACGGAGCTGCTGGCACAGGCGGCGGAGCTGGGGTATGCACCGAGTGCGTATAGACTTGGGGAGTGCTACGAATATGGCAAGATGGGGTGCCCACAGGATGCGGCGTTGTCTATACACTACTACGTGCGTCTTCTCCTTTCTACCCTATGATAGGCTCTCCACCTCGATCTAATACCTACCTACAGAACATAGCAGCCCAGCAAAACCATCGTGACGCCTGCTTCGCCCTCACAGCATGGTACCTCGTCGGTTCACCAGGCGTGCTACCCCAATCCGACACCGAAGCCTTCCTATGGGCCCAGAAAGCCGCAGAAGGCGGTCTCGCCAAAGCCATGTACGCCGTCGGGTACTTCCTTGAGGTAGGCATCGGCACCAATACGAGCCTGCCGGAGTAAGCTCTAAATTTACATATTTGCCAACAAGTTCTGGCTGACATAAACTCCTTCTGCAGAGCAATCTCGTGGTACAAACGTGCTACGGAAAAGGGCGACAAACGTGCGGCACAGAGGCTTAAGGGCGGGCAGCTCAACCAGCCGCTGCCCGGGGGTCCCGGTGCGGCGGTCCTGCGCCGTGCAGGGGGTGGGGAGGACGACGCGAAGGGCGCGAAGGATAAGGATTGTGTCATTATGTGATATATTGCTTCGAACGGAATAGACGCGGCGGGAAGAACGAGATGCGAGACAGACATAAGATGGTGGGGTTTCGGGTGGGGTGGACACGACAAGGACGTGTACATGTACAGATTGCAACTTACGCACCTCTCCCTTCCTTCACTCCCCTTCCCTCCTTCCTTCCCATGCACGTACCTCTTCGAGCTGATCATACCATACACCACACACCCACCCGACATCGAGTATCTCTCTCTCCCCTCTGGACCGCTCCTCGCCCTCTCAGTGTACGTATACGCTTTCTCCTGGACATTTTTACATACGTAATCTAAATAGAACAGTAATAGTAATGTCTATAAAGCATGCTGGCTTGAGTAGGGGAGTGTGGAGGGGGGCAGTATATAGCCTGCTTTGGGTGCAAGCCGCGGACATGTATTGTGTCGATCTTGAGCTTGGAACGGTCGAAGTTATGCCTATCCTTAATATGCTCGAACTCGTCTCGCGGGAGCTTATGCGTAATGGGGGCAGCGCTCTGCATGCTTTAGTCTCCACTTCTCCACATCGAATGTTCATTTGCATGACCACGAGCTCATCGTCTCTCGCACATTCAGATTAAACAATATTGTATTCCTGGGGCATAAAACACGCACATATGCAATTGTGTATCGGTATCTATAAAGGTTGAAGGGTGGAAGGCGAATGGTAGTACAAGGCGGTCACAAGGGGTGAGTTGTACAAGGAAGGTGGGGCACAAGGTAATAGTAGCAGGCAGGCAGGCGAGCAGGCGAGGTATTTGTAGGTCTTTAGGGGGTTATCTGAAGATACTAGGTGGACAAATAGCCAATAGGGGGTGCCGGTGCGGTGTGTGGCACAAGTGGTGAATGAATGAAGTGCGGGTACGTACTACGTGTACGCCGCATAGATATAAGATAGCAGTCCGTATGCAGCATGTCTGAGCCACATAGCGATAATATGTTGTACAAGTTTAAGTTCCTATTCGTTCGATCGAGTCCGGGTATCATTCGGGTCATTATAAGTATGCAGTCCGAGGGTGCCTTAGTTGAGCGCAGCGATCTTGGCGTAGGAGAGCTCAGGTGTCGGGGCGGGTGCGGGTGACTCGGAGGCGTCAGAGGCGTAGACGTGCTCCCAGGGCTCATCGGGGTCGAGCTCGGGCACAGAGAAGTCGTCGAGAACAATGACGGAGCGGAGCGCCGGGACGATCTCGAAGTCACGGGCAACTGGGAAGATAAGTGTCAATGTGGTTCAATTGCAGATCAGAGGGGGCATGTGAAAAGGATGTGCATGACATGGAAGAGGAGAAAGAACCCAATGCATAATTGATGCGTGATAAGGCCTGTGACGCGTGGAATAGTCTCGGAGACAAGGAGACATTAATATCATAGATGAGAATGAACGACTTACCCCGGCTATGACGTGGCTTCCGCGAGCTCGAGATAAGCAGGTCACTGAGCGCAACCTCGGGCCGTTCTATGGCACCTAGCTCGTCCGCCACACGCGAGGACAGCGGCGACGTGACGTCGCCCCACTCCACCTCGTTCTCCTCAACGCCTTGTTCCTCCTCGTTGTCGTCCACACGTACGCCGGGGCCACGTACGCTGCCCGTGTGTGGAGTGTGCGCCTTCGTGGGCCAGCAGGCACCAGGGACAGGGAGCTGTGTCTTCCGGGCGGTGCGCTGGAGGAGCGCTGCGGCCTTCTTGAGGCGCTGGCGGTCGTGCTCCCGTGCGCGGGACTCCTTGAGGCTAGGCACTGGAGAGAGAGCAGGGGACTTGGAAGAGGGGGGGACGGCGTTCTCGTCCGTGGGGGCAGACGTTGCGGACCGAGAGACGGGACTGCAGAACTTGGGGGAGGGAGTGGGGCGGCGCATAGTGTAGTAGAGATAGAGTAAACGGTGGGTACTAATGAGGTAAAGTGGGTTGTAGCAATTGGTGGTTAACAAGAGCAGGTCGAATGCAGACTCGGAAGCAGCAGGTCGCCTTTTAAGGACACCCGATAAGGATTAGGCCGTGACTCGGACCCACCCTGATTGGTGTCATTCAGCGACCATCAGTGGCGCTGCATCGCACAGGTCCCTTTTTCTGGCCTATTTCAGCGCAGCTCACGTTCGTTTGTCCCCCAAACGGATAGCCACGTTCGCAGTGGCAACTAGGCGCTCACCGCCGTTTATGGAGAAGAAGACCTGTCACGTAACTTCTGACCGGCAGGGTACCCCGACAGCCCCTAAATTGGTGAGATATGCGCTCATTTGCTTCCCCCGAGGCGTCGGCCCTGTGTAGGATTGCGCTGAAATGAACTGGAGTTGCTCAATGGGTTTGCGCACATGTTGCCATCATCATGCGATATGGCATCCGACAATCCTTCCGTCGTTAGATAAGCGCCATCCTTAACTCCGTAAAAGCAATTTCCGAGCCCTGTCATCATTGTCAGGCGTCCTGTAATGCCTTTTACGAAGCCGAGCTCTCTCTGGATGTTTTCCGATGCAGGACCGGGGCATACGAGGGGCTAACATCATTACGGTAATCAGGCTCAAAATGTGTTCTGTTATGTATTAGAGCCTTTAGGCTGGCAAAATTTCCTTTCGGCCTTTGCCCTCGTCCGACAGGTTCGTCCTAAACTCCCCGAAGACTCCAGCTCTCAACTAACATTCCTCTTCAGCTTGGGCGAACTTATTTCGATGATTACATACCAGTGTGTACGCTGCAACGATGGGATGCTTTATTCCTGGTCCACTCTCCCTATCAGGGAATCTGCCGGGAAATGATAATGCCAGAAAACATGGATGACTCTCCCCTCCACAACCGCTCTACAACTTGTCGCTTCGACTTCCCCGGCCCGATGGCAAGGATCGTTTCTTCCAGAGCCCTAGGCATGCGTACTGCCAGCGGTGTGACCTGCACTTCGAAGGGCATTATGCTACCTCAGGCCAATGGTGTTGCGAGTGCAAGTG